GGGATGCACCGTGGGAGCCGAGGGCGGAGGCGACACTCTTCAGGTGAGCTGTGGGAGGATCCGGCTGAGCCCGCAGACGCCCCCTCCGCCTCGCCTCGCCTGTCTCTGTCCGCGGTCCCGGGCTCCCGTGGTGGCCGGAGAGGCGGGGCGGGGTCCCCTGGCGTTGCCGGGCGTCCCCCTGGGGAGCTTCCCTGGGCCCTGGGTCTTCACGGAGTGTCATCCTGAGACCCGGGTTCCTGGAGTCCCCGGTGCCCACCGGAGACCAGATTTCCTTGCTTACCTGCTAGTGTCGCCCTCAGCCCGTCGCCCCTCCTCTTGTCTACATAGAGAGAGGTAAGCTACCTCTCACCTTTGCTCTGCGAAGTGCCCCTTCTTGGTGTGTAGATGAAGCATATTTTGGGAAATTCCGGGGAACTAGCTCCCGTGTCAGGGATGACCAGTTTCTGTTCCTTTTCCTGGGTGTAATATTCTTAAGTGCAGTACAGGGAAAACTTTCATCTGCTCCAGTTCAGCGGTTGCTGAATGGAGTCTATCGGTTTCTTCACAAATGATTTAGGGAGATTTAAAAAGATTTACACTTTGGAGGTTATCACTATTGGCTTCCCCCCGCCCCGCCCCCCAATCCTCTTTTAAATGCAGACCAGTATGCTAAATGTTTTGTTAATATCACAGATGTGGGCTGGAATTTGCCGGAATTTTAAATTTTAAGCTAGGAAGTTGCAGATAGGTGTAGATTTTAATGTGTTTTTAATGTTTAACAAATGCTTCACTAAGGAGGTGAAATAGGTTGTCAGGAATGGTGGTCAGTTTCCATGAACTCTACTTAATTGTTTTGATCGTGATGCTTGTTTTGAATTTGGAGAACTCGTTGGTGTTGCCATGTTAACCAGTCCTCCCGGCCTGTATTTTAAGGATTTTCAAGGAAAGTATCCTAGGCCGACGTATTAACAACCCGAGAATTTTTGGGGAAGCAATGATAAAATACTACAAACTGCCCTCCATTTAAAAAAAACCTTGGTTTTTGTTTTTTAAAACAAGGCAATGTGCTTCTAATTATATGGGATTATAATTTAGGCTCTTTTTTCTTTTCCTTTTTTTTTTCTTTTTGAAACAGGGTCTCCTTGTAGTCCCAGTTGGCCTGGAACTTGGTCTGTAGACCAGGCTGCTCTGGAACTCACAGAGATCCTCCTGCCTCTGCCTCCCAAGTGCTGGAACTAAAGGCATGCACCACCATGCCCAGTCGGGATTGTTATTTAGGGCATCAAGTGTAGACCTGACCTAGAAGTTACTTCAAATCCATGGCCAAGTAATAGTTTTGGCATGCTAAACTGCTAAGCTATTTAACACAATAAATCTGTACTATCATTGCATTAAACTTGATACACCTTAATCAGAATATAAATGTCAATTTGAATACATTGTATATGTGGATAAATACATATGTTTCTTGTCTTTTCATAATACCAGAACTTTGTGTTTGTAGAGTAGTGAATTCTATATGTAAACATTTTTGTACATATGTGAAAGAATTTTTCTGATATATTGGTGTTATATAAGGCCATCAATATTTACAGAACTAGCCTTTTGTGGTGTACTGATATATGAATTAAAAAGCTTTTGAATTTTTTTCTTTGAATTGCCAGTTTTTTTCCCCTCTACTTTTAAACACACCGTATCATGGGCAGGAGAAATCCTTATATAACCACTTGTTATATGTCCTATAATGAGACCAAAAAAAGGTTGTCTGAAATAACTGACTTTTTTTGGGTGTACTTTGAAATACTTGATTTAAGTCTTCATGCAATCTTGTGAGCAAAGTAGGCAAATATCCTTATTTCATAGTTGTGGAGGCAGACACACAAGACCATTTATTTGACTGCTGTTTTATTTCTGCAGATAATCTAGAATTAGCTATATTTGAAATTATTACCATAGATACTTTGACCATTTGTTATTTCAAAGTAGTTTAAAAATTCTATCTTAATTCCTTTTCAAATGACACTTGCTCCCTATATTGTTAGTTTTTAAAGACAACATTAGTATTTTCAAGACATTTTTTAAGTATTAATCATGAATTATTTTAATGGATCATTACTTCTCTTTGTATTTTTTATTTGAACAGATTTTTAAGAACTTGTAAGAGCTGGGGGTGGGCTCAGTGGCTGACTAGATGATGATGTCTGAGCCTGGAGGTTCAATTCCCCATTGAACATCCCCCAAAAATCGTAGTGAATTTGTTGTTCGTTTTATTTGGTTACACAATTTTGTCATCTTTTAGTCTTCAAATCATTTATGCTCTTGGTTATGTAAAACAGATGTCAAGCCTCATGATGAGTGGTAGCGTAACTATAGAGAGTTTGATTCAGAAGTTAACTGCACAGTTGTGATAGTTGTGATTTTTTTTTTGTAGTGTGAGTCAAATTGTGACATAGTTTTCCTTATTGACTTTAATGCCCACATGCCACACAATTTTTAGTGTTGCA